CCTTCCCCCCAGCCCTCTGTGACCGCCCCCTCGGGGACCAGCCAGCTGGGGGGCGGGGGTCAACTCCTTTCTTCGCTGGGGCTGGGGGTCCAAGTCAACTCCTTTCATTGTTTAGGGGCGGCGGGGAGGGGGAGACCCTGTAGCCTCCTTCCCCATCCATCCCTCCCCAGCTTGCGGAGGCCCCACTTCTGCCCGGCACCACTGGGAGGGATTTGGGGAGGGGGCGCAGGGGACGGACGAGAGCGGAACGTGAAGGCTCGCTGCCTCGGCCGGGAAATCGCTACCCGCTGCCCCAATGCCCTCGCCTTCCCCGAAAGGCGGGGAGCAGGGCGGGGGAGGGGGCGCCGAGGCCGGGGGGGTCTCCCCGCCCCTCCCCCCGTGGAACGTTAGGTCTCGTTTTTCCGCCGCTCCATTGTATCCCCGGCAGCCGGCGGGAGGGCCGGAGCGGCACCGGGCGCCGGGCTTGGGCAGGGGAGCTGCGGAGGGGGGGGTCCCCGTAGGATCGGGGCGGCGGCAGCGGCGGGAGAGACCCGGGGTGGGGGGTGCCGGTGGTGGTGGGCGCCGAGCAAAAAAAAAGAGAGAGAGGCAGCGGACGCTGCGCCCCGGCTGGGGGGCTGAGAGTGAGAGTGTCGGGGGGGTGGGTTCGGCCCCGGCTCGGGCTCCCCCCACACACACCCTCGCCGCCAACCCCCACTCCCCCCTCGCTTTTGCGCCCTGTCACAGCCCCGACTCGCAGGTAGAGAGAGTTAAGAGATTTAAAGAGAAATTGCTACATTGTGAGAAACTCACCCTGATGTTTGAGCAGCCGTCGGCGCGGGGTCTCCGAGACGGCCCCGCACGGGCTGCAAAGGGAGGACCCAGAAGGGGCCGACCGGCCGGGCCGGTCAGCGCACTGCCTGATCGCATGGCGGCCGCTCGGCTGCGCGCCGGGCCCCGCCGCCGCCCCGCGCCGCGGCCCGCGCGCCCCGGGCCCGCGCCCGCTCCGGGGAGCGCCCCTCGGGTGTGCAAAAAAATTTTTTTTAATTAAATGCAAAAGAAAAAAAAAAAAACCTTGCAGGTTTTTGTGTCCCGCCCCCCCTCCTCTTCCTCCTCCTCCTCTTCCTCCTCCTCCTCCTCCTCCCTCCGCCCTCGCCGGGGGATGGGCTTGGGGGAGGCCCCGCCCCGCGCCTCCGCTAGCCAGCCCCGGCCCGGCGGCGCCGAGCGGCGGGCCCGGGAGCGAATGGGAGGCTGCGGCCGCCGGGGAGGGCGCCCTGCGCACGGCGCCGCCCCTCCCCCAGCCGGCCCGGAGTTTGGGGGTGCGCCTGCCCGGGCTCCGGCTGTGTCCGCTCCCCGAGCTGCTCTCCGGGTGGCAGTGGGAGGGAAGCCGAGGGGCTTTGCCGCCCAGACGCCGCTTCTGGCCCGCCTAGAACGGGACACCGTGCACCCTGGCGCGCCCCCGGAGGCGGGGGGCACTGGCTCGGCGGGACGACGCACCCAAGGGGAGCATCGAAGGTTCGAAAAGGAAGCGGGAGTCTAGCATGGAGGAGGAGAAGATGAGTCCCCGGAGGAGACCGCGAAGGGATCCGGAGTCGGAGCCGATCAGGTGGAAGGCGACGGCGTCTTTGGGGTGACCTGCCGGGCCCCCCGGGCGTGGCTAGATTACTTACCGAGTCCGTCTCTGTCGCGGCGGAGCCGAGGACGCTGGTCTCCCGGAGGCCTCCCGGGCCGCGCTGATGGGATTCCCAGAAGCCCCAGGACGCCTCCGTGGTGTCGGGTCCGCTTCCGCCCCACCGGGCCGGGAACGCCTCGCCGGCCCGACACTTGGATTCACGCGTTCATTTGCGGATCGCTTGGTGAGCGCCCACTGTGTGCCCTGAGCGGCGCAGGGGGCCCAGCGGGAACCGCGACTGCCCAGGCCTGCCCTCCCGGGGCGGAGGGGCCCTAGAAAAGCTGGTGCATTCAGTAGGTGCCCAATAAATAGGTGCTGAATAAATGAGAGATTGAGCCATAATATATGCGTTTTAAGCCTTGGCATTCTAATGTCTTGGCGGTACTGCCTGTAATATTAAGACATACATTTTTAAAAGTGTATTTTTAAAAATTAATTGTGCATGGCCCTGACTCAAACCAGTCAACTCCTTTACATTCTTCTCTTTCCACTTTGCCGTGTGATGTTGGGTAAATTACTTCACCTTTCTGGACTTCTATTTCCTCATCTCTAAAATGCCCACACGGCTCAGTCTGTTAGGAAACACAACAAGTAAGCAAATAAGTCACTTAGTCTCAGTTGCCCTTCTTGGTCTTGACCTACAGATCTCAGGTTTCTTTGGTAAATTATGGTATATTTCTACCCCTATTATGTGCCCAGCGTTTAGTGCTCAAGAAAGATTTGCTGAAAAAAGAAACAAATAAAACCTACCTTTCGCCCCTCCTACACACACCCGACCTCTTAGGGGTGACCTTAACATCTTGCCACTTGGAATGAGCCTGGCTGGGTTTGGAGGAGCCAACAAAAGCCCAGCCCCAAATCTAGTCATGGCTGCCAGTCAAATGTCCATCTTCCCTGCTCTGCTCTGGCCCCTGACATCCTTGAAATCCTGACCAAACTTCAGAGTTGATGACAGGTGTTGTCAGGGCTGCTCTAAAAGCAATGGGTAAGGTATGAGAAATGCCCCATGGTGAGGAGCAGCCAAAGGGATGGCCAAGGGCCTGTGTTGGGCCCAGTAGGGGTCCTGATGAACTGAGATCCACTGTCCTTTGAAAGTGACACCCTTTTCCTTTGAGAATTGGAGGCATGCTGTGAGTCCCGGATTAAGCTTTGGTTGTGAGACCAGACAGGTTCTGAGACTTGCCCCAGGCTACCCCATGCAGGGCGGGAGCTAATTCAGTACACCTGAGTCACCGGATGATTTAGAGACAGGCGGCTCACTTCTCCAACTCCTCCATTTTCTTATCTGTTCAACGTGAGTACTTAGTGAGACACCCAAATCTGCCTGAACCCCAGACATTTTGTTATGAAAATGTCTTAACATGGAAGAAGCAGAAGAAATATTACGGTGAAATGCTAAAAATCCACCACTTGTTTATTCGTACATTACTTGCTTTACCACACATCTGTGCATCTGTGTCTGCCAAACCCATAGTATTTTTTGATGTGTCTCAAAGTAAGTTGCAGACATCTGTTTACCTCTACTGAATGCATCTGTATATGCATATCATTAAGCACAGAACCGTACCTGCCACCTCTCACCATTATAATAACAACCCCTGGGCCAGGCACTTTAACCTCAGTTCTATCCTTATTCCCATTTGTGAAAGATAAATGGGTTCATGGGGCTGGGTTCGATCCTCAGCACCACATACAAACAAAGATGTTGTGTCCGCTGAAAACTAAAAAATAAATATTAAAAAATTCTCTTTTCTCTTTCTCTCTCTCTCTCTCTTTAAAAAAAAAAAAAAAAGATAAATGGGTTCAAAGAAAGTCACAACCAGAGATTCAGATTTAGCTGTCTCCATATTCCAGACTTCCTTGAATGCTAACTTGAGACTCATTCCCACACAAGTCTCTGTATTCCCTGTCCTGACGCAGGCTGAGGGCTGGGCAGGTGAAACACACCTCAAAAATGCTTGTTGAATAATAAAGGGGCCCAACCGAGATTACTGTGAGCTTCCCCTTTAGGCCCTGCAGCCACTCAACACTTAGGTGTGGCTCCAAGAATGAAAATCCTGTCACTGCAATGAGTGTGGGTTTTTTTTTTGTTTTTTTTTTAGTTGTAGTTGGACACAATATTTTTATTTATTTTTATTGATCTTGGCCTACAGATCTCAGGTTTCTTTGGTAAATTATGGTGCTGAGGATCAAACCCAGTGCCTCACATGTGCGAGGTGGGTGCTCTACCACTGAGCTACAGCCCCACTCCGTAAGTGTGGGTTTCTGAGTCCCTCTCACCATTTTGTAGGTTATTGTAATTATAATGGTGCAGTTGAAAAGGAACAACAGGAAATCACTTTATTTGGTGTAGAGGGGTCCAGTGAATTGGAGAGCTGCTCTTCCACAACCAGGGCACTGGCTCCAAAAACCCTTTCCTCTCCCAATCCTCCAGCTCAGGGAGCGCCCCTTCTCCCATCCACTCGCAGGTCTAGCATGAAGTGGACCACGTCCTAACTCCCTTCATCTCTAACTGAGCCCTGCATCTCCAACCCACCCATCAGAGCAGTTTCCACGCAGCAGGACCACTGTGGTTGATCACTACTTCCATAAAGAAAGAAGTGTTTTTGTTTTGTTTTTAAACAAGTACTTTGTACCTCTGAAAGTCAAAATAATGTCCTTCACGGCTCCTCCGCTGCACTGGCGACTGTAAAGTCTTAAACTTAGCCAACCCAACTTGTTTCTCTGGGAGGATGCCAGCATCACGTGCAGTTCTAGTTTTCAGTCGAGCAGCACACACACGTTACTGCATTTTTTCGTATGTACATAACACTTCAATAACAAGGGAAAACAAACGAAAACTTTGCCGAGTCCTTAAACACTCCTGTGGCCCCTCCAGGTTTCGATCAGTGGGGTGAGGAAAGAAAGTGTCCATCAAAGACCGTTCCTTGATCTGGGTTTTAGCCACCAGGCAGAGGTAGAAAGGGAGATTTCTGCTCTTGACCGGCCCTTTAAGTGTGGCTGTTACAGCGGAGTGCGCTGCCTCACCTCCCTGCCCTGCTGGCCCGCCGGGAGCAGGGACCGCGGGTGGTGACAAAATCAGGCAGCTGCGAGCCCAGCCCGGCCTCGGGTCCTCAGCGCGGCAAGTGCGGGGGGCGGAGCCTGATCGCCTATTGGTCCTTGTTTGGGGCGTGGTTACAGCTCAATCCCGCCCCGCCCCTCCGCAGGGTTAAATGGGTCTCGCGCCGGGGCCCGGGAATTATTCATCGGGGGTGGGGCCTGAGTTTGTTTACACACTGCGATTGGCTGGATTTGAATCGGGCCGACAGCCGGTGGGCCGCGGGGCGGGGCTCCAGAGGGCGGGGGGCCGGCGTCTGACAGCTCCAGTCAGGCAGGGCCGCGCCGACGCGCAGCCCGAGAGCTCGGCGACCCTGGTAATGGCCAAAAGGCCAGTACCCGGAGAGGGTTGGGGCACTCGCTGGTTTCCCGATAAATGTTTACCAAGAGGGGAGGGTGAGTAGCGTTGTTTTGTTTTAATAAAAGTTCATAAGGAAAATCAAAAAGGGTAGACACAACCTAGTTGTTCATCTGCGGGGGACTCTACAACGTTGTGGTCCATCCCACAAGGGGACAGGAAGTAGCTGTCGAGTGAGGAAGTGATTCATGAACTGACACAGAACAACCTGTGTATTCAGACCGACTCGGGGAGGGAGCAAATAAGAGAGCAGAGTATCTAAAATTGTAAAAAGTGAGGATGAAAAAATAACAGGCTTAGAAACAAGTCGTAAGAGCCATAGCCTGTGGGGAATGCGATAGGGATGGGTAGGTAGATGCTTATATATCTTTGTAAACTTTGGACCTTGCAGGTTCAGCACAATAAGAGATTAACAGTAATAACTAATAATAAAATAGAACAATTATTACAGTGTACTGTAATAAGCCAGGTGCAGTAGGCACACCTATAATCCTAGTGATTCCGGAGGCTGAGGAGGCAGGAGGATCAAAGTTCAAGGTCAATGTCAGTAACTTAGTGAGACCTTGTCTCAAAAAAACAAAAAGTGCTGGAGTTGTATCTCAGTGGTAGAGCACTCCTGGGTTCAGTCCTCAGTACCAAAAATACCCCTCAAAACAAACTCAAACTCCCCCAAAGAAAACAATAACAATACATGGTGATAGAAATTATTTAAAACTAATGAATTATTTCAGGAATTTTTCCATTTAACATTCTGGTTAACATCATGGTTACTTGTTGGTGTCTGAAACTGCAGAATGTCAAACCCTGGATGACAGGTGACCGCTGTATTTTAACTGCACTGGAGGGGCCATTTCCTTGGCAATGATTGAGAGAAGGGGAGTTGGAGAGACCCACCAGGCGCTCCTAGGAAGGAGGAGAGAATATCAAAAGTAGGACAGGCCCTCTTTAGGGAGCTGGCCTGTGGTCACCATGATAGGCAGTGGAAAGACCTGAGTGGGCTTTGACTCTTGTTATTACTCTCTGTTCCCAGAGATCCCTGGGAGAGAATGAAATGGACTGCCTGCCGCCAAAGAGACTGGATTCTTGGTTGGGTCCAGATTTCTCTTGTGAAGTCCTCCCCCATCTGAGTTTGCACCAGGATTTGTGCAACCTGGTTCAGATGGCCATGGAAGTCGCCCATGGCTGGAGTGAAAATTTGCCAGCTCCGAGATGCTATAGTTACAAGCAATGCTTAACCCACTGGTACTACCAGGAGGTGGTAGGTGCTCCTGTCATCTCTTGTTTGCAGATGTGGAAACAGGGCCACAGACAGGTGACCAAACTGTCAAAGTCATGTTTGCAGGGATTCAAACCCAGTGGCCTTGCTCTGAAATCTGTCCTATCCACTAGCACTTTACCTGTGGTACAACCACTCCTAAAAATCTTTCTTTTGATGTCTCGTTTTCAGAGCTGAGGGTGCTCTACCACTGAGCTACATTCTCAGCCCAATTTATTTTTTTGTTTTGGGACAGGGTCTTGCTAAGTTGTCTAGGCTGCCCTCGAATTTGCAATCCTCCTGCCACCTCAGCCTTCCGAGTCACTGGAATTACAGGTGTGTGCCCCCATGCCCAACTTCAAAATTATATGAAGCTTTAGGAAGATTCTTTTTTACCCCTGGAACTGAGGATTAAACCCGAGTCTCTAGCATGCTAAGCAAGTTCTGTGCCACTGAGCTCCACCCCAGCCCTCGTTCATTTTTTAATAAAAGAATTTCTGATTGTTTTTCCTAAAATCTTATACCAGAGCAAACACTTCTATTCTGAGCACCTTCACAGTGGGAAAGCTTTACCCTAGGCCTTCTTTCCCCTCTGCCCTGCTAAATGGTTACCTGACCCTAACTGGGTGCCAGGCACACGTTAAAGCCTTTATATACACTGAATCTTCATAATGGCCTTGAAGGAGGAGCCACTGTCCTCATTTCACAGATAAAGAAATAGACGTAGGGCTGGGGATGTGGCTCAGAGGTAAAGCGCTCGCCTAGCATGCTAGAGGCCCTGGGTTCGATCTCAGCACCACATGAAAATAAAATAAAGATATTGTGTCCACCTATAACTGAAAAATAAATATAAAAAAAGAAACAGGCACAGAGAAGTTAAATAATTGGCCTAAGTTCTCTCATTTCTCTCCAAAGAAGGCACAAGAAGATGAAGAATGTCTGGAGAAGAGGAAGGTGTCCTCTTCTGAGAGGGAGAGAAAATAATGGGAATTCAGTTCTTTTTTCTTTTCTTTTTCTTTTTGCATACTCGGGGCTGACCCCACGGCCTAGTGACTTGTGAATGTGGGAATGGTGGTTCATGGAGGTGGTGGGAGCTGGGGTCACATTGCAAAGGTGATGAGAAAATAGCCAAGAAGCACTTGAAAAGATGGACAATTCAAGTCAAAACCACCATGAGATACCACTTCACGCCCATGAGCCTGGGTAGGATCCAGAAAGGGGAAATCAGCAAGTGCTTGCTGGCCAAGATGTGGAGAAGTCACGCCCCTCTTTCCCTGCCACTGGAAAGTGGTGCTGCCACTCTGGAGAAGAGTTAGTTGGTTCCATGATAAATTACACCTAGAATAACAACCATATTACTACTCACGTGTATGTCCAAGTAACTGAGCACAGGTGTTCAAGCCATCCCTTTTCACAAATGTTCGTGGCAGCACTGTTCACAATGGCCAGAAGGTGGAAGCAACCAAACTGCCCAACTATGGAGGAATGGAAGAATGACACATGGAAGGTACCTGTGAGGGAATATTATGCTGCCATATAAAGGAAGGAAGTGCTGACCCACCCTGCAGTGAACCTGGAGAACTTGATGCTTTAGGGCTGGGGTGCTTGTAGCTCAGGGGCAGGGTGCTTGCGTAACATGCAAAAGACCCTGGGTCCCATCCCGGGGACCATGGAAGAATAAAAATAAAAAGGACACTTACTGAGTGACTCCATTTAAATGAAATGCTGGAGGAGGCTGATGCTTAGAGACAGAATGAAGATTAGTGGTTGCTAGGGTCTGGGGGACAGGGAGGGAGTGGGAGTGAGCTTAGGGGATAGGCAGCTTCCTTCTGGGGTAGTGGGAAAGGTCTGGATTTAGACAGTGGTGAAGATCATCCAGCATTACCCACTTGAATCAAAGTGTGAAATATGATATATCAAGAACTATGTAATGTTTTGAACAACCAACAATAAAAAATTTAAAAAAAATGCTTTTGATTAAATGCACTACTTAAAAAAAAAAAAAAGATCATCCAGCATTGTGAAGGTATTAATGCCACCTTCTTGAACACTTTAAACTGGTTGAAATAGTAAATTCATGTTATGTGTATTTTACTGCAAAGAATTTTTTAATGTTATATGTTTATACCTTTATTTTGTTTATTTATACGTGGTGCTGAGGATCAAATCCAGTGCCTCCCATGTGTGAGGCAAGCCCTTTACTAATGAGCTACACAGCCCCAGCCCCTAATTTACTTACTTTTATGTTGTGCTTTGAATCCAACCCAGTGCCTCACATGTGCGAGACAAGTGCTCTGCCGCTGAGCTGCTACCCCAGCCCAATAAAAAGAACTTTAAAGAAGGGAGTGAGGAAGCAGAGGCGTTGCACATGTGTGGTTATTTCTTTTCTTTCTTTCTTCTTTTGAAACGGAGTCTCACTCTGTTGCCCAAGCTGGTATTGAACTCCTGGGCTCAAGTGACCTCGCCACCTCAGTCTCCTGAATGTTGGGACCTCAGGTGCTTGACACTGTGCCTAGCCAAGTATGTGGTTTTGCTAAACTGCTGAGGCTGGCCTCAAACTTGCGGTCCTCCTAATCTCAGCCTCCTGAGTCACTGGGATTACAGGCATGTGCCACTACACCCAGCCCAATTTATTTATTTTTCTTCTTTAGTGGTGCTGAGGCCTTGTGCATGCAAGGCAGGCACTCTACCAACTGAGCTATGTCCCCAGCCCTTATGTTTTTAAATGATACAATATATGGCAGTGTTTGCAAGAAGAGCAACAAAGACCTGGGAGGGGCTGGTGAAGGACCAGAATGCCACAGTGTGTGGAGGTGGCAGCTGGGTAAAGTCCAGCCACACTCTGGGTTTCTTAGCACCTGCTCCAGGATTCCTAATAGACCCTGGACCCACCTCACAGAGCTTCGGACCTGTGGAACTCTGTCTCCAGAGTGGATGGGGCTGGAATGGGGGACTTGGGGCTGCGGGAGCTGTCGCCTGACCCGACCTGGGTTTGGGAGGGCTTCTTGGAGGAGGAGGATGGTAGGAAAGGCAGGGTGGAGAGGGGTATGGAGAGGGAACTGGGGATTCTAAGGTGTGGCTCAACCCGACCCGATGTGATTAAAGCCCTCCTGTGGCTCCCGGGTGCCACCAGACAAAGTCCAAGCTCCAGGGCTTGGTTGCCTGTTTTCCAGCACATTCGTCTGCCCAGTGCCCGCCCTGGAAGGGCAGCACTAGGGACATGCCAATGACCAGGCAAGCCCAGCCCTGTTCTCACAGGCTCACAACCAGAGAGAGAGGGAGGGAGGGAGGGAGGGAGAGAACATATAACCAAGCCTTGCTCTGGAGCCGACACAAGCCCGTTGGCTACACGGAGGTCAGGCAGAGTTAACGTCCCTGGAGCTTCCTGCCGTCTCTATTCCTAAAGGACCACATCTCAGTTTTTGCAGATACTGCCTTTTCTGTCTGTGCCTTTAATTTGTTCTTTCAACCAACTTCTTTCTTTTTCCCTGAGCAGATTCCCCAGGGCTCCCACCCGGCTCCCCCTGAGCAGCACCCTCTGTGGGTGGGTCTTTCTTTGTGAATGCGCATTAAAGTCAATGCATGGCCATTAGGACAGGCCACCAGGGAACTCTCAGGTCTGACCTTTGGAGCAGCAGCTGAGGCTGGGGTGGGGGGTGCTGGAGCCCTCCTGAGGGAGGTCAGCGCAAGACTTGCCAGATGGAGAAGCAGACAAAGGGGAAGGTCGGGCAGGTGCAGAGGCCCAAGGGTGGCAGGTTGGCTGGAGGGGACAATATGTGGGAGGGGGGAGAAGAGGGGAAGCAGGAAGCCCGGTGAGAAAGATGAAGCTCACAGGAAGAGAAACAGGAGTTAGTTGAACCCCATTATTCAGGAGCCTCTCTGAGCCTTATGTCTTCAGAAGAATGGGACTAGGAGCTGGGCGCAGTGGCACTGCCATGATCACAGTGGCTTGGGAGGCTGAGGCAGGAGGATGGCAGGTTCGAGGACAACCTCAGCAACTTAGCGAGGCCCTGTGTCAAAATAGAAAAGGAAGAGCCCTCTTGGGTTCAAAAAGAAGGATGTGGAGCAATCCCAGGCTGCAGGAGCAGTCCCTTTTTGGTCCTGAGAACAGACAACCTTTCAAGTAGGTTTGATCCTTCCCGCTTCGTGGGGGAGGAGCAGAGGCACAGGGAGACACTCAGTCCTCCGAGGCCCGGGTGGACTGAGCCACTGTGGAATTCTTCTCCGTAATTATTGTCATTATTTTCTGTCCTGCTCTGTGAGTTGGAATTTCTTTTTCATAATCAGACTCTAAATCGACAAGAGACATGGAAGAAGAGACAGAGGGTAGACAGTTCTTTCTGGAAGTTTGCATAGGAAATGCAGGGGGAGTGAGGCCAACGAGGGGGTATTTAAAATCATTTTTTAATAAGAAGATTAAATATATATTAAAATAAAAGGGCACCATTAATTTCACATAACGGTCACTGGGCCTTGCCAATGATCAGCTCCATGTTGTCTTATTTCTGGAGTCTCCTGTCAACCTCCACTCTCACCTGCTGGATGACAGTTGTCCCCTGGTACCCAAGAAGGATTGGCTCCAGGACCCTTGTAGATATCAAAATCAGGGGATACTCAAGACCTTCGAATAAAAGGGCACAATATTTGCAAGTAATCTACCCACATCCTCCCGGGTACTTTAATCATCTCTAGCTGACTTTCAATACTTAGTCCAAGGTCAATGCTGTGTAAATAATTGCTACCCTGCTTTGTTTAGGGAATAATGACAAGAAAACTATCCACGTGTTCTGTGTAGGTGAAGTTTTTTTTCCCAATCAATGGTTGGTGGAGTCTGCACTCTCGGATGTGAGGGTCAACTGTATTTTGATTCCTTCATTGATTTTTTTTTTTTTTTGTCTCCTCGGTGCTGGGGATTGAACCTGGGGCCTTGTGCATGCTAGCCAAGCTCTCTGCCACTGAGCCACAGCCTTGCTCCCTGACTGCATTTTAAAACACATCTCAGACATCACAATATTTCATCTACTTTTCATATCTCTGAAGGAAAGCTCAGGGTTTTTCTTTTTTAGTTGTAGTTAGACACAATAACTTTATTTTATTTAATGTGGTGCTGGGAGATCGAACCCAGTGCCTCCCACATGCCAAGCATGCACTCTGCCACCGAGCCACAGTCCCAGCCCAGAAGGTCAGTTTTCAAAAACAACCACAATCCCATGTTCCATCTAAGAGATGCCCAGGATTTTTTTTACATCATTGAAAATGCAGAGTTCAGATTTCCCCTGTTCTCTTCTTTTAATTATTATTATTGATTTGTTACAATCAGAATCCAAACAAGGTTCTTGTTTTGCATGGGGATTTGTTACGGGAGAGGCAGGGATATTTGGGGACGGGGACAGGTATGGGCTTTGTGACGGTTGACCTTGGTGGTCAGCTTGACTGCATTGAGAGGCCCTGAGAATTGGTAAAGCACCATTCTGGGGGTGTCGACAGATGTTTCCGGAGAAGATGGGCATGTGGGTCGTGAACTGAGTGGGGAAGGTCGGGGAGTGGGTAGCATCATCCCACAGGCTGGGGGCCTGGGTGGAACCAAAAAGCCGGAGGGGAAGCTCGCACCTCGACCCTTCCGGAGCAGATGTGGTTTTTGCTGCTGCTGCTGCTGCTGCTGGTGAAATCCAGGCTCCAGATTCTTCAGCCTCTGCGGGTGGACTGTCCCCGGGGCTTCAGGCCTTCAGTCTCAGGCTGGGGCTCCACCATTGGTCCCTCCTGTTCTGAGGCTTCCACTTCTTGGCCTGGGCAGCAGCTGGTCTCTCTGGCTCTCCAGCCTGCAGACTGCCCTGGTGGGACTATTGGTCTCTGATTGTGTAAGCCTTTTTAATAAATCCTCTCATATAATTATAATATTCTACGGGTTCTGTCCCCTTAGAGAAGCCTGACTCCTACAGTCTGGCAGAGGGGGAGAGAGGTGAGAAAAGGAGGAGGAGGAAGGGGGCCGCACCTAGAGGAAGGAAGGAGGGAGGGAGGGACCATGACCTCTGTCCTTGAGTGAGAGGGTGGAACCCAGGAGCTGGGGGCTAGAAGAGCCTCCTTCAGGAGGCAGCAATGAGAGAGAAGGGGAGCCAGTGCTCTGGGGTGGGTGGCAGGGGGTTTCCTCTCCAAAGGCTTCTGTTTGCCCAGGAAGCAGGGACCTGGTCATCATCTGGAGGGTAAGTGGGGAAAACTCAGCAGAGACCCAGGGAGATGGCCCTGTGCTGGTTTTCTCTGATTCAGGTAAAACCAGTCGGGCTGGCTGGGTGGTTTCCTCCTGCTGGTCCAGCTGGCTGGGAGAATACAGATGGCTGGACCTTGGCCAGGTGAGTATTTTGGAGGCTGAGAGTCATGAGGAGGCTGAGAATGCTTGAAGAAAGTGATTCAAAAGATGACTCAGGGAAGTGAGGCTGAGCATTGCCCAGGGGGTGAGGACAACCGGAAATGGCAAATGAGAGGAGGAGCCAAAGGTCAGGGTGGACCCTTCCCTCCTGGAGAACATCTTTTGCCTTGGCTTTGTTGGGGCTTCCCTTTTATTGGTTTTCCTTCCGCTTCCCTGTTTCTTCCTCTTCAGTATTATCACTGGTGGATTCCCCAGTGCCTGCACTTCTCATAGTACAGATCTGCGCCTCCTCACCTATTTTCTACCTTGTTTTCCTAACAGGATCATCAGTTTGAGGATCATGGCTAACTGTCTTCCTTAAGGGAAATTTCCTGTTCCTAGAATGGTGTGTATGCAAGCACGTGTGTAGGGGCAGCGTGCAGAGAGGACCACAGGGGTGGTTTGGCCACTGCTGTCCCTGGAGAGCAGGATGGAGATTCCACTTCTGACAGGTGGGTTTCCCTGCAGCCACAGTGGGGATGTCCACTGGTATCACCAGGCCTGCTCTAACACAAAGCAGCGGCCACTCATGTGCCTGATGGACTCCTTCAGAGCCTGGTGCATGGGGCTGGCTGGCTGGCACCTGTGCCACACCGTGGTGTTTGGAGCTGGTTGGATACAGTGTGGTCACCCCAAGGAGAGAGGCTCCTGGGGGACTGCGAGTCCACCATCCCTACTGCCTCCTCCTTTGCAATTAAGGGTAGGACAGTTGGGGAAATCAGGACATGAAATACAAAATCACAGGATGAGTTTTGGTTTTGTGGGTGTGAAGCTGGGGGTGGAACCCAGAGCCCACACCTGCCCCTCCTGCCTGCTGGGCCAGTGCTCTCCCCTGAGCCACTGAGCCCTGGCCCTGGCCCCCAGGCATAAATCTTTTTTTTTTTTTTTTGGTACTGGGAATTGAACCCAGGGGCGCTTAACCACTGAGCCCCATTCCCAGCCCTATTTTGAATTTTCTTTAGAGACAGGGTCTCACTGAGTTGCTTAGTGCCTCACCATTGCTGAGGCTGGCTTTGAACTCGCCATGCTCCTTCCTCAGCCTCCTGATCTGCTGGGATTATAGGCGTGTGCCCCTGTGCCTGGCCAGAGAGAAGTCGTCGTGCTACGTGGAGTTCTCTTCCAGCCGAGCCGGACCCACCACACACGGAGGGGAGCTGGCACTGAGCAAGGTGGCTCCAGCTTAGCTGGGCTGTGACACTGAAGCCAAGGCCGACCTGCAGGACCCTCGTGTAAGTGCCAGTCACACGGCTCCCTCCTCTGTGGTGAGCCCTGGCGGAATCCAACCACCTTCATGCACCGCCCTCGTCAGGGCCCCGAGGGCCTTGCACAGCTCTGGAGTCAGCAGAGATTAGTCAATACTCGGCTGAATCATCTAGTCATTAAATGGCTGAACATCGAACTGCAAAACCAAATTTCTTTTTTCTTTTTCTTTTCTTTTGTCAAAATGGGGTCTCACTTTGTTGCCCCAGCTGATCTCAAACTCCTGAGTCCAAGTGATCCTCCTGCCTTGGCCTCCCAGCAGCCAGGAGTGCAGGTGAGGAGGAAACGCAATCATTCTGTGAAGTCCGAAGTTGAGTTACAGGAGGATGGAGGGGGGTGGAGGCCAATCTGCTCAGGCCCAGAGCAGAAAACACCCGGAGGCCCTTCGCATTCCTCAAGGTTGTTAAAGGCTCACCTGGGTGCCACCAACCCAGCTCACAACCCGCCCGTCCAGAAGCAGCCAGAGCCTCTCCTAGATGGTCCTCCTGTCCCAGCCTCCCCATCCCTGCGTCTGCCTCTTTGGCTGGTGCACTGCAGCGTGAACCCCTCGTGTTTTCCTTCCCCACATTTTTGTTACAAAACACACTTTGCGTAGCTCTCCTTGCTGTTTTCCCACTGGTGCCTCGCCTTGCTACTGGAAGTTGCAGGAACTTGTCCCGTGACCTGTCTTCTAGCTAATTTCTGAAGTGACTCCATAAAACCTTGTTTCTGAGATTCCTGGGTCCCCAGAGTTGTGATTCAGCACGTGCTGGTGGTTGGTTGCCAGGCAAGTGCCACCTAACCCTCCTTCCCATCCCCGCCCAGCTCCTACAATCACCCACATCCCTCTGGACACAAACCCTGGGGAGAGGAAAGCACTGGTCTGGGAGTCAGGACAGCTGCTCCCAACTTGCTGTGTGACTTGAGGTGAGACCATTCCCCTCTCTGAGCCTCCATTTCCAGATGTGCAGATGAAGTAGCTGGGCCACCTGCCGTCCCTGCTCCTTTCCAGGTCTAACATCCTGTTTCCACCTTCCTAAATGGAAGTGATCAATTTGGCCAGATTGGGAAGGCAAAGTGAGATCCAGCATCTCAGCCCTGTTTCGGGGTGCTGACAGGAATTGTGGGTTCGAGTAGAGGAAGGATTGGGGCAGGGTGGGTGGGGAGAGGGCTGTGTAATTAAGCAGTCACACTGTGGTCTGGTTGATTGTCGCAAGCCATCCTTGGGCTGTGTGTGACCTGGGCGCAACAGAGCTTTATGAGGGGACAGGTCTGGAGGTGGAGTCTGCGCTCTCGGATGTGAGGGTCAACTGTATTTTGATTCCTTCATTGATTTTGTAATATTCTGTAATATTGTGTGATAACAGTAAAGCTTACCTCAAAGGACCTCATACTATCTCCATCTTAGACTTCAGTCACTTTCTGTCTACAGTGGATGAACACACCATCCAGCCCCCCTACAACTCAGCTAACTGGGCTGAGCCTGGAAGTGCGCCTCTCCTCTGGCTCTGCCTGTGATCGCACACAGCACCTGGGATGGGTGTGACTTGCCAAGGTATCAGTCAATCTGCTGACCAAGACATTGCAAAGCAAAACCCCACCTTTGAAATCTTACCCCTGCCTTATTTGGTGAGAACATTCCATCCAATCTCCTTTATGGGTCCCCCTATAAAAATAAAGGGATTCCGGGTGCACGCTGTCTTTCCTAGCCCACCCTCGGGGTCGCAGAGCCCTACCTCCATCAGAGACTCAGTTCCGTGTGTTGCGTGATTTCTTTGCCCTTTTCTTATCTTAGGGTTGCAGCCAGCTCTTGGGAGCCCTGTTCATCTCATCAGGGCGGGCAGCTGGCGAGGGCTGGTCATCTCAGTTCTGCTTCTGGCGAGGTGGCTGCTGGAAACTTCTTATCTCTGGAGGGCCGACTTCCACTGCTGGCTGCTCGGGATGTGTCTCTGTCGCCTCTGCAGGAGGCACCTCGGTTCCCCGGTTCCCTGAGGAACCCCCTCCTCTCAGCGATGATGGTGACATGTCTGCGTGTCTTCGAGGCTCTGCTGTGCAGAGCCACTGCAGGCATCTGGAACAGGAGGCTGCAAATCTGGTCCCCAGTCTTGAAGGGGGACGAGAGGTTAGGTAAATTTAGGGCTAATAAAACTTTTATTGCTAGTTTTTAGATAAACACTCCTTAAATGATTAACCTGACTATGTGCAGCTAATAGGCAGCTGATCGTAAGTTTAGGGTAATCAAGGGGATGGCACAGAAGGAAGAGAGCAAGGCCAGGCTTCGTCCTGCTTTTAGTGACCCACTGGGCTTCCGCAGGACTGAGTAAAGAGTCACTGCCTTTAGCGAAGGCAGCTCCTCTAAGTCCCTGTTACACTGAGACAGGTCCTCAGGGTAGGGTCCCCCAATCAAGCAAGCAACCCAGGTAAACCAGGATCACCTGAGGAATGCCTTGCCCTGTGGCCACCAAGTCATGGCACATTAACCAAGGGCCAGAAGGAAGAAGACTGCTCTGGGGGTGTCCGGGATCCAGGGCACAAATACACCGCACCCTCTGTCTCCCACAGCAACCTTAGCCCAGCCACTGGGACTGCTCTGCCGTGGGACCACGGGGCCTTTGCTCAGCCTCGCTCCCTGGTGTTTCACCATTACCACATGCTCGGCAGTTGAGACATGGTGAGGCCTTCCTGAGCATCTTCCTGTTTGTTTCTTGGTGCTTCCCAGTGAAATGGTCATTACCCCCCAGTCTACGGGGCAGAAAACAAGGTTTGGAAGAAAGTGGAAGGAGCTGGGAGTCAGGATTCAGAGAGAGGCCTTTGGATATTGACGCCTCCATTTACTTAGTCTTTCTGTGCCTCAGTTTACTCACCTATAAAATGAGAGTAATAATGGTATCTGCTTCATAAAGAGCCCATATGGATTCGACAAGTTAAGATGTGTAAAACACAGTAAGGAGGATGCTCCTGAGGTTAAATTTCTGAGTCCAGTTTTCACCCTTCTTCCAAATATTTAGTGAACCCCAGAAAGGCGACCTAAGTTGGTGACCAAAAGAATGAGCTCATTCAGACCACTGCCTCTTCTTAACCGAGAAAGTTACCTAACCTCTCTGAGCCCATTTCCTCATCTGGAAAATAGAATGATGATAACATCCTATTTCATCAGGATATTGTGAGGGGTAAGTTAATCTATGTAGAGCTTGAAAAATATTAGTCATCTACAATTAAGGGGACCAAGTGTACCAGATTGGTGGGATTGAGGAGTTTCTGGAGACATGGAATTTTTAGTATTAAAGTCAGGTAAGGAGCGGAGCGGGAGGCCGGACCCGGGAGCCGAGCGGCGGTGGCGGTAATGGCGGAGCTGGTGCAGGGACAGAGCGCTCCGGTGGGCATGAAGGCCGAGGGCTTCGTGGACGCCCTGCACCGGGTCCGGCAGAAAGCCACAGGACTCACTTGTGTTAGAAGGCCTCCACTCCAGAGCTTGAAGATGTGGTCTTTCGGTCTCTTTCCAGTATTCCAGGGGAGGCATCCTGTCTGTCTCCCACATACTGACTTTTCATGTTAATATTGATGCTCCTGTAGACATTATATTGGATCCCAGAACTTTCCAAACCTGTGGTTTCACCTAAAATTTTGTCTGACTAATTGTTACTTACTGCCCAGGTACCAACTGTTACTGTAGTATCTCCATCTTAGACTTCAGTCACCTTCTGTCTACAGTGGATGAACATACCATCCAGCCCCCCTACAACACTGCTTGCTACTTTCCTCTGCAGTACAGGGTCCTCGACCTTGTTTCTCACTGGCTACTAATATGTAATGCCTATCACTCTGTGCTGATATGTGACAATCACCTTGTTGGCCTTCTGTGTCCTGGAAGAATTGTAGCCACTACCTTAAAGAGCTCAGATCCTCAGTTTGCAGAAGGCCTGTAATTGAACATAAAATGATTTTGAAACATTGCGAAGACTTTCTACTTCTCTTGAGGCAGTGGTTGAACTCATACTCTCGGACAACCTGCTCAAGAGGGAGACTCTCAGGTGTTAAATGCTGACTTAATGTGGATTGTTGAAGCAGTGCTGTTTACTACTAGCAGTGACACTTCATTGGAATTGTTCTCAGCTTTGAGATGCACCATTGACTGGAGCCATAATAGCCCAATGGAGCCAGGGCTGTTAAGTGTGTTCCTTCTGAATGTTATCAGCTGGAGGTCCATACTATCTTCAAGGATTTGATGGCCTTTAAAAACTAAAGAAAAAAAAACAGGTTTGTGGGTAATTTTAGGTTTATTTTACAGTTCGTATTGGGCAAGAATGGAATGTTAGAAATCTGTAATATTGTGTGATAACAGTAAAGCTTACCTCAAAGGACCATCTGGGTGGTCATGGTTTTCCTTCTCCATAGTATATATAAGCATGTTGCAGAAACTTGATCCCCTTGCCCCCCAGCAAGTGGAAATAGAGACAGTATATTTCTTTATGTGAGTGACTATAGACCTCCCGCCTCTTATATGTCCTTGTAAATACCAGCGACTGTAGGACCTTCATACTTTTGTTAAGAAAGTTGTAAGCTGGGCCGGGGATGTGGCTCAAGCGGTAGCGCGCTCGCCTGGCATGCGTGCGGCCCGGGTTCGATCCTCAGCACCACATACAAAACAAAGATGTTGTATCTGCCGATAACTAAAAAATAAAAAAAAATATTAAAAAAAAAAAGTTGTAACCTGTCTTGTGCTCGGTTTTTCTAGCCAATTGAGTAGAGTCTGAGTTCACCCTGCTGGGATTTGAATCCTTGCTTTCTTTTCATTCTGGTATATGGAGTCTAGCACCTAATCCACTGAGCTTCTCTTCTGGCATCTTGAAGCCTTGTATATCCTTTGGACTCTTTCCAACAAAGTGAACCAATGGTTGCTGTTAGTTTACTCAAGCATGGTATTCTGAGATCAAAAGGGAGTCTCGGAAGATGTTCCATGAAATTTTTTTCTCAGCGGGAGGTCCAGTGAGTTACTAATGTTTGGCACAAATGGGTAATTAATTTATATCTGTTCTGAAGAGTAGTAAACATGTGATATGATTCAGTCCTATTGATGAAGATCTAAAAGTGTTGGGTATTAAAAAAACATAGCTAGTATATAAACTAGCGCATAATTCATTGGATGGTTAGCAGAATTAAAGTGTGTCTTTAACTAGTTTGGAGAGGCCAGGATCTTAATAAAGGTTGGATGTGAGTTCAAAAAAAAAATAAATAAATAAATAAATAAAGTCAGGTAAGTTCTGGGCAAACCAGGGTGAGTTGGTCATATTGTTACTAATAGTGTACATATGTGTGCATATATATGAATATACTTTTTTAATATTTATTTTTTAGGTGTAGATGGACACAACACAATGCTTTTATTTTTATTTGGTGCTGAGGATCCAACCTGGGTCCCTCCCGTGCTAGGCGAGCGCTCTACCGCTGAGCCACAATCCTAGCCCCATACATATTTTTTATTTTATTAGTTTTTTTGCAGTACGGGGGATTGAACCCACGGATACTCTGAGCTATATCCCCTGTCCTTTTTTAGTTTTTATTTTGAGACAGGGTCTTGCTGAATTCCCAAAGCTGGTCTCAAACTTGCAATCTTCCTACCTCAGCCTCCCAAGTGGCTGGGATACAAGCATATGCTACTATGCCTGACAATAATAGTATTTATTATTATTACAGACAATATCTTGCCAAGTGCCATGGAGGTACACTGTTAAATGAAAGTTCACTAGGGTTTCGAGGAGCATAATAGGAAAAGGAAAGACCAACAAAATATAACCCAAAATAGAACACAGAATATGTGAAATATACTTTTATAATATATAAAATAGTTAGAAAAATTCCTCTCGCAGGGCACAGTAGTGCAGGCCTGCAATCCAGCAGCTCAGGAGGCTGAGGCAGGAAGATTACAAGTTTGAGGCCAGACTCAGAAATTTAGCAAGGCCCTAAGCAACTTAACAAGAACCTGTCTCAAAGTAAAAAAAATAATAATAATAAGAGCTGGGGATGTGGCTCAGTAGTTATGCACCCCTGGGTTCAATCCCTGGTACCAAAAAAAAAAAAAAAGGATTTTGAATGTTTCACCTCAAGGTAACTATAAATGTTTTAGGTGATAAATATGCGAATTACCCTGATTTGATCATTCCCCAAAGTATACATGTATCAAAAGATCACATTGTACCTGTAAATGTGTGCAATTACTGTGCATCAAAAACAAAACCACCGCCAAGACACTGATTAGTGCCTTCGAGATGCTGAAGCACAGAGGCAAGGGCCTTGCGGGAGGGCCCAGTGCTTACCCAGCTACCCACAGTGTCCTCCAGATCACCACCAGCGACTGTTTGCTCTAGTCCACCAGGGAAATGCGGTTCCATTTCTGGGCGAGTCTTGTTTCTTTGCTTGTTTGGAAATGGAGTCTCCCAGGCTGGTATCAAACTCCTAGACCCCAGGGACCCTCCCGCCTCCGCCTCCCTGGAGCACTGGTGCCAGTCACTCCAAAAGGAACCCCCTTGCCCACTAATCAGTCACTTCCCCTTCCCTATCTGTCTCTGGATTTGCCCGTTCTGGCCATTTAATATAAATGGAATCGTTCATACCATCTGTGGTCCTTTGCGTGGCTGCTTCTCGTCTTTTCAAGGTCATGGCATTCTCTGTACCCAGTGGCGACATGCTTCATTCCTTTGTGTGGCGGAATGCTATTCCCTTGCATAGATGCACCACATTTTGTTAATCTCCGCCCTGTCCACGTTTGGCCATTCTGAGCCTCTTCTTTTCAGAAGGGCTGTCTTGATGGGAAACTCCACACACAAACCTTAAAAATAAGGCCTTATTAATTCCTTCCCTGGGTTTCAGCTCTGTCTTGCTAAATGGACCCCATCTTCCTTCTCCAGAGTCCCCTCATTCCTTAGCCTTGGCCCCCCCATAGAAAAGCATCTCACTAAGGTGGGCCAAAGGCAGACCCTCAATGTTTGCTAACAGAAGAAAGGAAGGCTCAGTGTTTGAATAATTTCCAGGGTGAAATCCTACTCCCCCCCCCCCCCTAGATTCCCTGTGGCCAAGGTCCTACCTCTTTATTTTCTTTTCTGCCTCCAGCTCCAGTGAGGCACATGACAGATTCTTAGTCTTTCTTTAAAAAATAAAGAAAGAAAAGAAAAGTTTGGTTTTTTCAGACAGGGTCCTGCTAAGTTGCTGAGTCTGGCCTTGAATTCTTGTTTCTCCTGCCTCAGGTTCCTGAGTCACTGGGATTATAGCTGTGCACTACCCTGGCTGGTCTCTGTATTTTTAAATGTTTGTTAAGTAGAGGAAGGAACAAATACTCAAAAAAATTGTTTGTGGGATCAAAATCCTGCCTCTAGTTGTGCCACCACCTCCTTGTTTCTGGTTTCCCCTCTTCCTTTTATTTGTGTCTCCCTGAGAGGGTAGAACCAAGGAGGCTTTTAAGGGTTGGGAGAGGTTGGAAGGAACTACCTGATTTTTTTTCTCAGAGGCCAAAGTATTGATTTCCTAGCTTAAAAAAAAAAAAAAAAAAAAATCTTTGCTTTGAGTTAAATATAGAATAGGTAGATTTTTTTGTTTGTTTTTGTACTGGGGACTGGGGTTGAACCCCACGGAGCTTAATCACTGAGCCACATTCCCAGCCCTTTTATTTTGAGATGGGGTCTCACTAAATTGCTTAGGGCCTCACTAAATTGCTGAAGCTGGCCTTGAATTGTGATCCTCCTGCCTCATCCTCCTGAACTACTGAGATTACAGGCATCTACCACAGTGCCTGGCTCAGAGCAGAGAGTTTTTTAAAACCCTCATATATATGTTATAAGAATAAGAACAAAATGAACAACTGTGATCCCATGACACAGTTTAAGAAAAAACAATTTCCATTTTCTTCAAAGTCCCTGTATGGGCCGTTCTTTCATCCCTCCAAGGTGCTAAACTTTGTTTTATCTTTTCTCTTGTTTTTTTAAAAAATAATTCTTCCATAAAATCATTTCCCAAAAGTATATTTTGGTTCATTTTGCTTGTTTTAAAACTTTATAAAGTAAATAGGAGCCCGTCTCTGTTGTATGTAATGGAAAGAGACACATATTCACTGCTGTATAGTATTTGGTTATTAGGTATGTCGCGTTATGTCCAGTCCCATGAGACATTTCTTTCCTTTTCATTTCTAAATGGTTTCAGAATAATTTTGATTTGTAGAAAAGTTGAAAAGATAGTACAGAATCCTGGCCCCCTCACCCAGCGTCCCCTGATGTTACAACTTATCACAGTACATTTGTTGAAACTTCACAAACAACTTATATTACTACTGAATTTCATTCTTTTAGTTCTCACTAGTTTTTCCACTAAGGTCTTTTTTTTTTTTTTTCCCATGATCCAGGATCCAATCTAGATTTTCTTCCCTATTATAAATATCAGTGCTCATGCACATCTTCTGGGGCACATAAACAGAATTTCCCTTAAGTTGACCTCTGGGTGTGGGGTTTGTTGGGGCATAGGACATGTTACATCTTTCTTTTTTTTTTAAAGAGAGAGTGAGAGAGATAGAGGTAGAGAGAGAGAGAATTTTTTAATATTTATTTTTTTTTAGTATTTGGCGGACACAACATCTTTGTTTGTATGTGGTGCTGAGGATTGAACCCGGGCCGCACGCATGCCAGGCGAGCGCGCTACCGCTTGAGCCACATCCCCAGCCCCCATGTTACATCTTTCATGTGTTCAAAAAGGCAAACTTGTTCTCTAATGTGGCCACACCAATTTCAACCATTTCTGATACCTTGCAAGAAATTCCTTTTATCTTACCTGATAGAAAAATAAATGTAAAAATTTGCCAGACTGGTGTTTCACAGAATCTGGTTTTAATTTGCATCCCCTTTGTTATATGGTTAGCTCTCATTTCAATTTCCTCCTGAATGAAGTCCTTTTCAAAAAAAATTTTTAGTTGTTTAGAGATTTATTTTTATGTGGTGCTGAGGATCGAACCCAGTGCCTCACACATGCTAGGTAAATGCTCTACCACTGAGCCACAAGCCCAGCCATGAAATCCTTTTTAATATATTTTTATTCTTTTAAATTAGGTTGCCTCATTTACTTTAAGCTTTTTAAAAATACTTTTTAGTTGTAGTTGGACACAACACCTTTATTTCACTTGTTTATTTTGGTATGTGATGCTGAGGATCGAACCCAGGGTCTCGCACGTGTGAGGCGAGCACTCTACCGCTGAGCCACAACCCCAGCCCCAAGCTTTTATTTTTTAAATCTTTTTTAGTTGTAGTTGGACACAATACCTTTATTTTTATGTGGTGCTGAGGATCGAACCCAGGGCCTCGCTGCTGCTAGGCAGGCACTCTCCCACTGAACCACAACCTTAGCCCCTACTTTAAGCTTTTAAAATAAATTCTGGGGGCTGGGGTTGTGGCTCAGTGGTAGAGCGCTTGCCTAGCATATGTGAGGCACCAGGCTAGATCCTCAGCATCACATAAAAAATAAAAATACTGTGTTCATCTACAACTTAAACATATAAATTCTGAGTGAATTCTTTAATATATTTTTTAGTTGTAGATGGACACAATATCTTTATTTTTATGTTGTGCTGAGGATCAAATCCAGTACCTCACATGTGTGAGGCAAAATGCTCTACCACTGAGCCACAA